TTTTTTATTTATTATAATACTCCGTACAATAATATATTTTAATAGCTTCAATCAATTTTTATTGTTAATAAGTAATTAATAAGTTCCCAACTATTAATACAAATCACCCTTTCCATTACCATTCATCCACAATTCATTTAAATAAACAATGGATTATTTATATTATTTTTGTATTTTCACTTTGTTATATTTTTTTCAATTAACCATTTATAAAATTATATTAATAAAAACTTCAATAATAATAATAAATTATAATATAACTATATATATAATAATCAAAATGAATGGCTTTGTTTAAAATACTTTAATCTTTTTTTAGTTTTTTATATTTAATATTCCAAATTATTCAATTCATTTTTTAATTTATTGTTCAATCTATACAATAATAATTTGTTTATTTTTATTTTCAATTCTTATGATACTGTAGGCGTTGAGCCTTCTTATAGAAAACTTTATTAGATTATTTATTATTATTTGTTAAGATGAAACAACAGTTTTAAAACATTCAATAGGAATTAATAATAATAGCAAAAATAATGATAGTAGTTATATCAATAATTTAAATAATAGTAATAATCAAGATCCAGGCTATAGAGAGAAAATGATGGAATTTAAACCTGAATTAGGAATAATATCCTACATTTCAGATAGTGGTTACGAAATAAAATATAGTATAATTAAACATCTCTTTGCTTTGTCACAAAATCTTTTTAAAAATTATTAATTGTATAAAATAATAATAATATTCTTTAAAATATGGATATGCCCAGGAATATATCAAATCATATTATTGAATGTGGACCTCTTTAAAAAACTGACAGGTGAATGGCATAGATATTAACTATTATTATTATTTTGAACTATTTATTTATTCATATAATAATAAACAAAAAAAAAACAAATAACAGTAAGCGAGCTTTAAAATTTTTAATCAAATACTGTAATTTTATAAATATTTTTTTATTTCCAATATACTTTTTCATAAAATTAATACCTTTTTTGCTTAAAAAATAATAATTAATAAAAAAAAATACTATAGGTAATCAATATTTGCAAAGATTATTACAGAATTAGTTCAAGAAAAAGATCTAAACAAAGAGTTCACCATGCATAGCTCCCTATCAAAACAACTAAATTATGTGTTCTTAATAAAGATTCAAGGCTATCAAGTATGAAGATTCAAGAATATCAAGTATCAAGGCTGGTTTGGTTTATTGATGGGTATAGGTATCAGGCTTGGCCCTCTTGGTATCTGTATTCTGAGATTTACCAAACTTTCAAGAAACTTCAAGGCTATCAAGTATGAAGATTCATGTGTTAAGTATCAAGGCTGGTTTGGTATATTGATCTGTATTTTGAGATTACCAAACCAAGGGCTAATTATTATACTGTGCGTGGCGGTATAATAGTTAGCTGTCGGCTCAAATATACTAACATCCCCGTGGTTGAGCTGGAAACACTCTTTACAAAGAGTGGCTAATAGTATAAAAAAAATAATAAAAAATTAAATAAATTAAATTAAATTAAATTAAATAAAATAAAATAAATAAAATAAAATAATGGTATTAGTTCCATTTTATTAACTTTAAAAATTAATTATAAAATCCGTTTGATGGTGGTGTGTATTTGGTAATGTTTGGGAATATATGTACATTGAAAAGCTAAATATTTGGCATTCTTTATTTTAAATTTTATTTTAATTCTTTTTTTTTAGTTGATGATTTTTTATATTTTTATTGAATGAACTAATCTAGAAGAATTTGATTATTGCCCCATAATAAAATAAAAAAATAATCATTAGATAAATAATTATTTACATACTGTGGATGTTGAGTTTAGGGGGAGAAAATTATTATTTTTTGTTGTCAGGGTGAATATATTCTTTGATTATTTTTGAATGGTAAAGTTTGATTTGGTATCTATCTTTAAATCTGAAACTAATGGTCCAATATTATCAATATCTAAAAATAAAATAAAAAATTAATTAATATATTATTTGAATCTTGGTAAATTACTGCTACTTTTTTTAATTTATTTAAATAGAAGAGTAAAAAAAAATTTAATTTTATTAAAAATTATTAAAATTATTAAAATTATTAAAATTTTTTTTAAATTTCCAATTTTTTTTTAATTTAAACTAAAAATTAAAATCCCACAATCTTTTTATTTTTATATTTTTTAATAATTTAAATTTGCTTATTTTTATTATCTATCACCGAGCTAGTCACTGTAGGCCTCCGGAACTATTACGCGGGGCTAGAGGATTTCGATAGTTCTTATTTTTTTGTTTTTTTTTTTAAAAAAAAAAAGATTGTATAATTCATTTTTTGAATTGTATAATTATTTTTTAAAATTTATGTTACAAGTGGAACAAAAAATATTAGATATTTAATATTTAATATTTATAACTAAAAGACAGAATCCTGATACCTTATAGGATATCCAATTTTATGTATAAGCAGTTGTAATAGTAATGATAGCAATGGGAGTGGCGGTAGTAGCGGTTGCAACAATAAAAACAGTAATAGCTTTTTAATTAATAATTATAAAAAAAAATATTCTTCCATCATCATCATATTTACAATTATACAGGGTTAAAACATCATCAACTGAAAAAGAGAAAGAATAGATAAAAAACGTATTGAAAAAGAAAATAAACTATAATTTTAGAACTCAAAAGAGTATAAAAATAAATAATTTTTTTATTTATTATTTTTTTAAAATTATTAATATTTTTATTTTTAAATTAAACTAATTGAAATTCTTTTTTTTTTTTTTTTTTAATTGATGTATTTAAAGAAATATGTGACTCTATTGAAACCTTTTTTTGAATGTAATTGGGTCTTCTAAATATCTATATTTTTTTGAATTATTATCCTTTTTAAAAAAAATGAATTAATAAAGAGTTTTTTATAATATATGATGTTATTTCTTAATGAGAACTGCCTTTGGTTTGACACAATTTTGATTTTTAATTTTTATAAAATGTTTTAATATTAGCTTTCTTAAAGGCTTCTAATAACTGAGGACTGATTATTGATTTACCGACTATTATTTTTTTTATATAATTAATTTTTTTTTTTTTTTTTTTAATTGTTTTAATAATTTTTTAATTTTTTTTAAAAAATAGTATATTAAAAATTTTTTTTTTTTTTTTTTAAAAATTATTGCTTTCATACCACACATATATAATTTTTTATCCATCAGCTTTTTTTACAATCACACCCATATAATAATATCAT